TATTTAAGACATTCCAGAAACTATTTTAGAAATCTTGAATAATTGAAATGCTGGAATATTTTATAAAATTCAAATAGTTCTCAAACTCATATCTTTCAAATATGTATTCAACACGTATGTAGACTCTGAAATAATTTATTCGACTTTGTCTCCTTTTTAGACTCTTTAATATTTTTAAAATCTTGGAAGTTTTATAACATTGACAGTTCCTTAAGCCACTGTTGACAGTAAAATTCATTCTTTAGTCTCTATCGTTTTAGAAAGACCTGTAATCATTTCGAGACATTCGATACGTTTAAAAAGATTCAAGACCGTCAAGAGTCTCAAAGAATTCAAGACTCCCAGGAATTTGTTTGAACATTCAATCATGAAAGTTTCGAAATTACTCGAGTCTCGCCACTCGACTCAAGATGTCTTGAAACGGTTTCCACCGCATCGCTAGTCACGGAAACTAATCGAAATTGGAAAATATGGACGTGGTAATCTTTGTTTATTTACGTCGTAGAGCGGGTATAGTGTTTCGCATACGGTCTATTAGAGGTAGTTTGCGCTCGATACAAACAAAGGCGGTAGCGCGAAAAAGTTGCTCGAGCGCATGCAACCGTTAAATTATCGATTGAAATATTTGTGTATCAGCGGTATCAACTTGATGCCCACTGATGCGTGCAGAAACACGCTAACCACGTGGTTAGCGCGTGTGGTATACTAATTAACATCTTTTTAGATAACATGCTCTCAGTGTTCGGATTTATTGACGTAATAATATAAATTTTTATCGGTACAATCATCTAGAGTATCCCACGTATGATTAAACATGCTACATATTTTCCTATGGAAAATTACTACGATAATTTCACATCAAAATATATATTTAAAAAAAATGTAGCGAGAGAATTCAATTTATTTTAACAGAATTAAGAAAATGATTAATAAATTCAAGACCTCCAAGAGTTTCACATTAAAATGCATATTCAACAAAAATGTAGGAAGAGGATTTAATTCATTTTAAATAAAAGTAAAATGTAATTAATAAGACTTTCAGTCACTTGGTGACTGCCAATGAAGGAATATTTTCCAACCAACCTAAAGTATGCGATACTCTGCTCTCGTTAATTAAAATGAAAATACTACTAAATACCCAAACGTCTATCGATATTGAAAATATCATTTCGTTTGAGTTGGCTAGGATCCATCATTTAAAACACATTCGGAAATATTATTTTCTCCGAACGCAATCCAGCTCTGTAGACTTACTGCGTATCGGCGATAAGGCAGACCGGACGCGCGCGATACGTTATTGCAAATGCAGTAATTGCAAATTCCCCGTCAATCAGCTCGCCAAAAGTGAGCACACGCGCTACAACGCGAGGCTGGTTGCATCGAGCACGCAATAATTTTATAAAATTTCGTACGTCTCGTTGATTGACGCGCAGTTGAATCGCGAATTACCAACGCGAATATTGCTTCCGATATCGCGCTCGGCCAAAAGCGGGAGCGATATTGAATTCAGACGCGAGGTAAGCGACTTTTTACAACCGAGAATTCCGTTCGATTTATTTGCACTTAAATTGCGCGAACCGAAACGCCGGCGACGTATTTTCCGCGCGCACCGCGAACAATTTGAATACCTGGAACCGGGCCGGACCGTTTGGAAAAAATGTATTATTTCGGGCTCGCCAGCTCGTAACCGTGTACGGAAAGAACTATTTACGAATGCCGCATACGATATGAGGCGAACAAATGCAAAATAAAAACATAAAATCAACTTTAATTTAATTCTCATTTGAATACGCCACGGTCGCGCAAGGAATTCCCATTCCACCCATGAGCACTGGCCGATAATTTTAATTAAGTTATGCATAATTTACTTCACCCCGGTACAAGGAAAGAGAATCGTTTCCGTCGGTGTTATTAATGGTGCGGTCAACAACGGTGATTTGCCTTGCTGTGGAACAGGTTAGAAGAAAAATAAGAAGCATTTCTTCTGGAATCTCTGTTCGGTAGGTGTTGAGGCGCTCGAAAATGAAGAGTGCCGCTAGTTCAACGCTGCTTTTAACACATTAACACTTTGAAATTAAATGGGTTAAAACCTATCCCATCTTTTGCTTAGCTTTATTATTTTATTTAAAGTTTTTCATTCATGTGGCGATACTACTGATGAACTAACGCTAAAGGTACGATAAGTGGAATCAGTCTTCTGTTCACAGACACAGTTCTTCTGTGCAGCTTGAATTTTATATTTCTTCTATAATCGCGTGCCTCAAAGAGTTAATGCATAACTGAACAAATATATTCAAATGTTTTAAGATAGGCCTGAACATTGTCCACAAGGAAAATGTTTAGACTTCAACTCAATTCCTTGCAATTAATTCCTATAATATAATTTTCGAGCAATTCATGCCCTAAAGGATGCAGTTAATTCACTGATTTACTGCGACCTTGTTATTTAGCACAATAATGTTTCTCACTTTACCTGCGATAGCCTAATGCACCAGCAGCAGAACTTATGGCACTAGGGGAGCTGGTTATCAACGCGTTTCTCACATCCAACGGAACCGAAGGACGGCGTAGCCCCGAACAACGGCCACCGATCATTTTCCACTTTCGTTTCGTATTACTGGGCCCGTCTACCGGTTATAAAAAATGATAAGGAAGAACGTCAGCCAGGGTCAGATACAAATTACCGTTGCGTTGGCCGGAGTTGGGTGGAAACTCGTGTTGGGAATTGAGGGCAGCGCGCAGGGAAATTGCTATACGCCTTCTCTCCTCCCACCTACTTCGTCCACCTTACCAAACATTTATCCTCTCTATTTCGGTCCACTACCGTCTCAGGCCGTGCAATAATGTTGCCTGTCTAAATAATATTGGCCGTCGTTAAATACCACAAATAGTGGTCACTTCCTCGCTGAATATTTACGAAGCCATCAAATTCGTTTCAGTACGACGCCGGATAGTTGGTGAAATAATATTGATAGGGGACGCTTTAACCCTGGAACGACAATGAGTGGAAGCATGAGAAGGGACTTCGTCGAGTCCAGCAGTCGGAAAAGTCTTGAAAATACGACAAGAATCGATTTATGTAAAAATATGCACGCTACTATACGAAAGACAAGTGTGCACGTGCAATATCCGCGCTTTGTTGATAAATCACTAAACAGCCAGAAATTAATAAGATTCCGAAGCAAATAAGACGTATAGAAATTGAATGCCGAAATAGTTCGATATCATTTAAATTTAAATATTCAATTTTACGTAGCATTGTAAAATATTATATATGGCACGATAAAACGATTGAAAAAAATTAATATTAATTCGCATAAAAATAGTATACACCCACGTAATTCGAATGAACCAGATACATCAATTGCACGAAATATAAACTATAATAAATTCAATCGAAATATTAATTTCCGATACAAGCATACACAAACAAGGATATAAATATTAAATTGTTACGAACTTGTTTCCTCCGAAAATGATAATCTAACGCAATGCATTGCAACGCGTTGCATATTGCACCGGCGGTATTGCACCAAAAGGAAAAATGATATCATCAAACGAGAGTCCTCTAGCTGCGGGATCCAACTTTATCCGGTATCAATTTTTTGCATCTACGCTTGGAAGTGAGCTAAAGCTTGACCCAGTTTCTAGAGTCACCCTGTACACGGGGCGTGTTTGCCCGTGTAATAGTATTTGACCAGTGTGTGTTCTCGGGCATCTGACTGTTTGTTTCTGACTCACTGACTGTAACTGATGCGTTCCCAGAGAGTCTCTCCTATGTCTACTTGGCTAACGTGTAGATTTCCTGATTGCTCCATTGAAGATATCGGTAACTGTGCTTCTACCTGATTGATTCCTTATTTCTGCTTCCTTTCGTTCTACCTCTAAATGCTCATAGAAATCTGATGACTTGGTTCTTTAAAAAAGTTTCAAATACCTTGGAAATATCGAGAAGTTCTTCTATTCGGTTCATACACATTTCAAATTAATCCATTTACTGTCAACGACTTTATGACTAAAAAGTTTTTAGTCGAGATTATATTTAATAGCCTAGAGGTTAGGCTTCATAAGACGAAATTACGAACCTTTCTGTTCCCACAGAAATGTTATTAAAATATTATCGTATAATATTATTGGAATAAAGGGTTTCTTGAAAGTAGCTGTAATTTTGTTTTCAAGTAATAACGAGCAAACTCCGCTCGTGTTTTATTAGAAATACAAAAATTCTAAACTTCTTTTTGAACACCTTTTATGATTGAAATTTAGTACTCGTGGTGCATACAGGCTTACCGATGCTCCATAAAAATCCCTCGAGCCGCAACACTGGGAATCGCCACCAATATGGAGAGCACGTCCCGTCACACGTAAGGGCTGAGAAGACAGTCGCAGGGAAGAAGTTCGAAAACTTTCCAACGAAGTCAACCTCACGCGTATAAGTACACAGACATCTCGACAAACACTCATCGCACCCGTCTCAGACACCCACACTTCCCATCCGCACGGTAAATAAAGTTAGTCTATCCGCCACCCTTCATAACTACCCGCACAAGATTAATTTGGCGCGTCAAGTGCACGTAGGAAGTTCGCCGAAGATCGACGCGAATATTGCACGTACCTACAGCGTACATACTTCACGTGCCTTTGCGTTTTTCATTTTTATTTCGTTACGTAAATAGTGTACCGGGAGAAACTACGTACGCGCGCGTGTGGAGGAGAAAAACATTAATCATCCACCGGTGGGGTCATCATTTTGGACTTTTTCTTCCCATGCGGTAAATTAAATTACGGAGACGTCGGTTGGTTTCGTCCAGTTTCGCGAAGCTTTGATTATTTACGGAATATCGTCTGGCGTCGGCTTCAAAGATATCTGAAGGTCTTAAATGGATAATTTTACTCAATTATGATAGGGACAGGAGTGCATAATTATTCAATCATGCAACACGGTAATCGGGAATTCTATTTTGCACTCTGATCTGATTTTTCGTTTAGCAATTTAATTATACTGTACATTTGGATTCTAGATTTTTAGAGGCTGTGAATTCTATACTTTATGCAAGGTGGTCTATCAGAATATACATTAATAGCTCGACTTTAATGTTGCGCCTTTTACTTGTTTTTTTTTCTATTTTGTTAACGTGCCAAGCTAGTGGAAAATTTGTCTTGCAACAGTGTGTTGTTAAATGCAATAAAATAAACTTGCTCTACTAAATAACAAACAATACATTTCAAACACAAATCCACCCATAAATTCTAATCTCACAAAGAAGAGCTCCTTCGATAATAATTAAGATGAATCGTAGAAGTGAAAAGTATCGCAAAATCTTAAACCTCTCCACAGTTTCGTCAGACAATACTAACGATCGAAATCACGAATAGCGACTCCTCGGTAAAAGTGGTGGTTACTTCTCCGTTATGAAGTAAGTTCTGAAAAGTATTTTTCAGCACAATAGGCTGCTTGAGGATATCTTTAAAGGCGGATAGTTAAAAAGTGCGCCTCGTAGATAAGATGGAAATAGTAATGTGTGCCGCCATAACGGAACTACCCCCAGCCAACTTTACGTATTGATACTGCAACACCGAGGAAAGTAGGGTGTAACCCTTGGGTTCCTCTGCTGGCTTGGTGTCTCTCCTGCTACCCCATCCTTCTTCCTTCCTTGCGGAGGCTCGACTGCTTCCACTCGCGGCCCTTCCCTTCCTCTCACCCTCGATACCCACCCTCTAGACGGCCTTGTGCTCGGTGTTTACGAGGGTCGAAGATTCGCGATGTAACACCTGGGGCTTATGATTCCGGGCATTATTGCCCGAGTAAATTAACGGTGCGATATTGTTCGCCTCACTCGATGTCTTTGGTTATATCTGACAAATTCCTCTTACCCAGCTTTTCGATTTCAGCCACTCCGTCCGCGCTGCATTTTAACGAAGCGTTCGCCTCTCGGGGTTGCGTCGTCTTCCCTGTTCAACTTGCTACTTAAGCTTCGGTGCTTGAAACGTACGGCTGCCTCGGCTCTCCTGGAACAGAATTTTTAGAACGTAACTTGGAAATATGAATTTTTGATGTATGGATACGTTTACTTTGAAAGATGTATTTAGTAAAATTTCCGTTGAAAAATATTGGGAGAATGGCGAATGACATCAAATTTTTAATTTTCGTTCGCATATACCTTTCGCAACAGGATTTTGCATATTATCTCGAACAATACGCACTGCAATTATTAGTTTCTTTTAAATTAATTGCTCGCGGTGATTTCATGTTGACGTTTGCTTTCTGTTGTTTTTCTTTTTTCACGAGTAACTTTTGTGAAACTGAATTCGAATATACATACATCCACGTCATTTACATAGTGATACGAAGGCATGCTGAGTTATTGCGTTTCGAGGTAGGTACGCAGCAGAAAGTAAATGTTGCGTAATCAGTTTTAAACAAAAGAATAAATAAAAACGGCGAAATATCGCCTGCCGTGGGCGATCCGTATCCATAAAACCGTCAACCGAAACAATGTTTCCCAAACAAAACGTGCAAAACTGTTTACGATCTCGGTTCCCTTGCTTTTCTTTCAAACGGAACCCTCGGTTATAATTACGGTAGGATTGAAATATTAACATCTAACAAATACAACCAATTTAACCCTTAAATGACTCAAGTTTCAAATTTTATACCGGACTTCTAAATCGAATTGTACATTTGCAATTGGTTACCATGTTACCATTGCAAATGTACAATTCCAACCTTCATTCCAACAAAAGTTAAAAAAAAAACACAAAAATCAGCTGTTAAAATTGTTCAAATAATAAATACATTGATATTTTTCTAAATTTAATTTTGAAAAATCAGACATCTAAGGGTTAAGGTCTAAAATCTTCTTTTTCCCATGTCTGACACCCATTCGTATCGAAAGACAATTCCTGCTTCAAAATTGTCTTAAAATTCATAATTCTATTACAGAAGTAATCAATTCTTAAACACCGTTGAAGATCACAAACCATATTGTTCCGAACGACTCTAAATTAAACTGTTTGGAAGACTCCCACGCATTAATTACTTTTTCACCGAGCCACCGCTGCAACTATTAATACAAAAATTGACACTAATTACAACACTTCGCAAATTACGTAATCTGCGCGCGCATAGTGTGCACGGACATATAGAAATGGTTCGAACGTAGTCGAAAGCGTTGGCTAGAGAGCGTATCGGTTGTCGTTTCCATGAAATTAATTTCCTGCTCCGAGGATGTTCCTGCTCTCTGGAGGACTGTATATATATATATATACATATATATATGTAGGTAGGTAGGTACCGCAGCGAGCTCTGCAAGCACTCAAGATCGCCGTCTAGTTCGCGGTTGAACCGGTAAAGTCAGTGTCTTACGACTCCAACTTGAACTCCCGGATAAAGGGAGGTAAAAGGTGAAGCATGGAAAGAGAGAAGTACTATAATTGAGTACACTTTATTCGTTTGTAATGCACAGTGGTTGGTCGCCAACTCGGACGCGATATGAAAAGAGACCACGAAACAGGGATTTCTACGAACTCGTTTTATTTCCGAACAAAGAAACTCCCAGTACCTTTGCAATCGCGCCTTGCTGTTCCCCGCAGAAATGACGGAATCTGTTATCCGATTGTGTCGCGCCGTCCTTCTCAAAGGGACTATCGTCGTAACCGTGGCGATATAAAAATGTCAGAATGAGGAAACGTTTCGTTTAGAACAGTTTACTTGGTTTTGATCATCCTTTGTTCTCGAGACTGAGTCTTGATTGACCGAATAAGAACAAATTTTTTAACGGCGCTCACGATTCTCGCGAAAAAATGAACAATGTATTTTCTAAGCTAAGACTGATGTAATATGCTTCGATGAATATCTATGGGATTGACTCTATGTAGTGTATAAAATAAAAAGATTTTCATTATTTTTTCATAATCACGAATAGAATTCGATTGTATTCAGACAAAAAGACTAAAATATCCTTAAAAATAATGTATAAATAATATCCTTAAAAGTAATGTACCAATACTTATTAGCCTATAACTTTCAATCCCCGGAATGTTTTCAAACGCGTTATCCTACGGACTTCAACATTTTCAATGTTCCAGCCCAAAGACTTCACGCTCCCGCCACATTTGCTCCATCGGTTAGTTGGAATATCAAACTTTGACAGAAAGAATTTATCGACGACCCGAATAACTTAATTCTGAGCTGCCGAACATAAGCCCCGCAGCTTAGGAAGATTCCCCTACTCCGCTTCTATTACCGCAGTACAACACCGGCTGATGTTCTGTTGTGTGTACGCTTCTCACACAAACATAATAGGGGAGAACAAAGCCGCGTAAATGGCTTCACTCGTAAACAGTGCTGTCAGTGGTAACTGATTAAGCAGGTTAAGGCAGTTGTCCGGTAAACAGAAGCTTCAACCTTCCATACCTCAGTTCGGACAACAAACTCCTCTTCCTAAAATTGCCAACATTTTTGCGGTGTTGATCTTTGTAAAGCACACGATGGGCGTGCCTTCGAATAAAATAGATAAAAGCCTTGAGAATAAAATATCGACCACTCTAGCAGCTCACATGTCTACATCGGTTATCTGATCAGCGAAAGTCCCGCTTCCGAGGGTCCAAATCCAGTAAATCGATCGATTATCTTCCCAACGGAATTAACATCCCGCTTCCCGTCGAATCTAGGAGCGGTTCCAATAATTTCCACGGATGAAGAAGCGGGTGTTAAGGTGGGAACAGATTCGACGTTATCCAGCAAAGCCGCCATTACGAAGTGCTAGGGGAACCCGTAGGTCTGAGGCTGCTCGATCATTGCTAAAAGAAACTTGGCAGACGGGAGCAGCGTCTTCCTCCTCATTTCATTAAATGCTTCTCGAGCGATTTAGCACAACGAGTATCCGAGGCATTTCTGGATTATTCTGGCGGGGGTGGCTACACTCTCTTAAACTTAAGTGGCTCACTTTTCTCGACTTCCCCGCGAACGTGGCACCTCGGATCCTTCTTCTCTCTGTAAACCATCCGAATCCCTGGCGAACCTCATAGGCTGCCTTCGGTGGGTCTCCTTCGTTCATTAGAAATATTGCGTCGCCATCGCTCACCTGGATGGACGCAATCCTTTCCACTTAATCTTCTGTTACAAGCAACCCCTTTGGATCCTGGACCAAATGAAACGAAAGAATATCGTCCACTGGCCAAGCTTCAGCTGAAGATGAAAGTGAGCCATCTTATTTAAACTTGAAATAATTTTTAATAAGTTTAGGACGTGTATTTTGGTGTTTACTGGCTTCTTCAAGTTGAAGCGAGTGAAGATCGATATGGAGTCTTGGATGCTAATTGAAATTTAGTTAGAAAAGCAGAAATGAAAGTGTCGTTTCTGATAGTTTCGAAGAGCACTAGTTTTTATGGCTATACCAAGAGAATTTTCACCAAATAATAATTCGTTAATTAATAACAAAGACATGAATTAATACTCTCCCCCTATATTTCACATTCAAGACGTCGTTTGAACTTTTAACAAAGACACTGAACCATGAAAAACTTTACCAGTATTCAACGTAACTCCACTCTATTGTTAATACTATTTCACGATAATCTCGCTTCGGTATTGTCTAACTTTCGCGACTCGGAATTGTAGAGTTTTGCGCTGCGCTTCGAATGCTCAATTACCGAAGTTAATAAGATTCCGAGTTTAAAGTTCCTTAGCTTTTCGTCGGACATCTGCTATTTGACGCAAATACTAACACAAGGGCATCGAGTGGGGAAACGTCTGACTAGAAATTCGCGCGAACAGTCGTTACATCTTGCTCGTTGAAAGACGTAAATTTATGCTTCCGGTCCGCGAGGTGCTTAGAGGAGTTCGGAAACTTAAGCAATTTTAACTTCGGTAACGCCATCCCGCTCTGTTATCCTCCCGAGCTAATATTGCCCGCTAACTGACCACGAGTATTTTTCGTTGGTGGAAGTGTTACTGCCAGCCTCTCGGATTTATTTCGGCGCCAACTCAGGAAATTGAAATTAATGCACGTCAGAAAAAAGTGTATTCAGAAATTTCTCTGAATTAAATGATAGATTTCGTGTTTCCAAATAAATGTTCTTTTTTTTTTTATTAATATATACATGAATAAACTTTACGCTTGCATGTATCCATAATGAAAAATTTATTTGGAAACATCAAAACTATTGTTTAATTTACCAAAACATAGAGGGTATGAATACTTATGGGACTGATTGTAGATCGACTTTAATTTAAAAGTAGAATTCTGAACAACGATGATATCGTAATTTATTAAAAGATATTCAAACCTACTCCTCGTATCCGTTCCAAAATTATCCCAGACACTGAAGTTCCAGGACGATTCGAACTCGAAGCTTTAGAATTCATTTGCATTGCTCTTTGGTACGTTGCTAACGAAGTCATCCATCATGATTAGAGGAAGCCCGCAATCAAAACTGGATCTGTAAGCCCCAGCGACTGTTGTCATGGATACACGCTGGTGTCTATCAAAACCTGAGAATTAAAACCCGAGACCCGTACCTTCCCATCGCTGTTCCAGAATCGATATGGACACAGGTGATCCATGTCTAGGATTCAGCTGATTTAACGTTGAAATTAGAGGACGATTGGAATTCGAAGACCTGAAACTCATTTGCAATACTCTTTGGTACGACGTTAACAAAATCATCCGTCATAATTCGAGGAAGCCCGCAATCAAAACTGGATTTGTAAGCCGTGGCAACCGTTGTCGTGAACGTACATCACAATCAACGGAGTCCTATCGCCTCAAGCTCATTACGTCCCGCAGATCGCATCTACAGACTGGAAAAGCACAACCCATTAGGCCTACTAAATAGACACTTCACGAGCAATCTCCCGTCATAGCGGGGCCATTCATGTCGCATTGCATACTCGGCGCAGATATATCGTTGTGCCACTACAGATACGCGCAAATGGGTCCCTGAAGAATGAATGGTGTGAATTACAAGCCCAGGATGGACCTCATCGTAGACGTCCCGTGGGCATC